CTTCCAGCATCACAGCAACATGCGAGCCCCCACAGTACGACAAACTGACAGATGAGTGAGGGCAGGTGACCGTAGGTGGATGGATTTACATCTGGGTTATTAATTCTGTTCCATTGGTCAATGTGTCTGTCATTGTACCAGTACCAGGCTGTTTTGACTACCATAGCTGTATAGTAGGTTCTGAGATCAGTTAGTATGAGGCCTCCTACTTTGTTCTTTTTCAATAATGCTTTACCTATCCAGGGCTTCTTTCCTTTCCATGTGAAGTTAGTGATTAGTTTCTCCATTTCATTAAAGAATGCTGTTGGTATTTTGATCAGGATTGCATTGCATTTGTAGATTGGGTAGAATTGACATTTTCACAAATCTGAGTCTACCTGTCTACGAGCATAGGGTGTTTTTCTATTTATGTAGGTCTCTTTTAGTTTCTTGCAGTAGTGGTTTGTAGTTTTCTTTGTATAGGTCTTTTATGTCCCTGGTTAGATTTATTCCTAAGTATTTTATTTTTTTAGGGGCTGTTATATAAATGGTGGAGCCCTTGTGGTGCAGTGGTTAAGAGCTTGGCTGCTAACCAAAAGGTGAGCAGTTTGAATCCACAAGCTGCTCCTTGGAAACTCTATGGGGAAATTCTACTCTGTCCTATAGGGTCACTATGTGTTGGAATCGACTCAACGGCAACAGGTTTGCTTTTTTTGGTTTATTATAAATGGTATCACTTTCTTGATTTCCTTTTCATAGTTCTCTCTATTGGTTTATAGGAATCCAACTGATTTTTCTATGTTTATTCTCTATCCTGCTACTCTCCTGAATCTATTAGTTCCAGTAATTTTCTTGTGGAGTCTTTAGGGTTCTCTATGTATAGTATCCTATCATCCATGAATAGGGATCGTTTTACTTCTTCCTTACCAATTTGGATGCCCTTTCTTTCTTTTTCTTGCCTTACTGCTTTAGCTAGAACTTCCAGCACAATGTTAAATAGGAGTGGGTGACAAAAGGCATCCTTGTCTTGTTCCTGTTCTCAGGGAGAATGTTTTCAGCCTCTCTCTGTTGAGAATGATGTTGGCTATTGGTTTTGTATAGATTCCCTTTATTATGTTGGGAATTTACCTGCTATTCCTATTTTATTGAGAGTTTTTATGTGGGATGGGTGTTAGATTTTACTGAATGCCTTTTCAATGTGATGAGCATGTGATTCTTCTGTTTTATTTATATAGCAGATTACATTGATTGATTGTCTAATGTTGAACCCTCCTTGCATACCTGGTATGAATCTCACTTGGTCGTGGTGTATTGTTTTTTGAATATGATGCTGAATTCTATTGGCTAAAATTTTTTTGCGAATTTTTGTATCTATATTAATGAGAGATATTGGTCTGTAATTTTTTTTTTTTTTTTTTTGGTAATGTCTTTGCCTGGTCTTGGTATCAGGGTTATGCTGCTTTATAAAATGAGTTTGGAAGTATATCTTCCTTTTCTTTTTTCTGAAATAGTTTGAGTAATATTGATATGAGCTCTTCTCTGAATGTTTGGTAGAATTCTCCAGTGAAGTCATCTGGGCCAGGGCTTTTTTTTTTGTTGGGAGTTTTTCAGTTACCTTTTCAATCTCTTGTTAATGGGTCTGTTCAGATTTTCTACCTCAGTTGTGTTAGTTTAGGTAGGTAGTGTGTTTCTAGAAATTTGTCCATTTCCTCTAGGTTTTCAAATTTGTTGGAGCATAGTTTTTCATAGTACTCTGTTATGACCCTTTTTATTTCAGTTGGGTCTGTTGTAATGTCCCCCATTTCATTTCTTATTTAGGTTATTTTCATCCTTTCCTGTTTTTCTTTTGTCAATTTGGCCAATGGTTTGTCGATTTTGTTGATCTTTTTCAAAGAACCAACTTTTGGTTTTATTGATTCTTTCCATTGTTTTTCAATTCTCTATTTTATTTATTTCTGCTCTGATCTTTATTATTTCCTTTCTTCTAGTGGCTGTGCGTTTCTTTTGGTGTCCTCTCTTTGTTTGGGTTGTAAAGCTAATGTTTTGATTTTATCCCTTTCTTCTTTTTTGATGTGTGTATCTTTTGCTATAAATTGACCTCTGAGCACTGCCTTTGCTGTGTCCCAAAGGTTTTGGTAAGATGTGTTTTCATTCTAGTTTGAGTCTATTAGCATAGCATGTTTATGAAGATACCTCTTGTGGGGAGGGCGTGGCTGGCAAACAAACGTAGAAGGCACACATTACATATATACAAGTAGTCCTCGTCTTACAATGGGGCTCCGTTCTAACGACTCTGTCGTAAGTCAGTTGTGACATAAGTCAAATACCTCATTTCAAATTAACAACTGATGCTTCTTATGGTACAAAACATAGAATAAGATCATGCTATAGGCCTGGTCTACAATGAAGTCGGCGTCAGTGTCTACAATGAAGTGAGTGTCAGGAGTCATAATGGATAGAAAGCTGGGCAATGTTCAACTCTTAATGACATATGACAATTGAATTGTGCATGTGCCTGACACCCATTACAATTCTGACTTCACTGTTAGGACACGGACGCTGACTTCATCATAGACGAGGCCAGAGCCTGCTACATGGCAGTATTTTGAACAGTAAATCATAAAATTGAACACCTGTGAGTGAACATCTGAGAATGATAATATCAGCAAATTACATGCTGCAACACTGTATCTAGTACATATTACTAATGATAAGATGCACAAAAAAACTCCATAAAAAAAAAAAAAGTACTGTCTTAAGTGTAGTTTGTCATAACTTGAATACTTTGTAAGTCGGGGACTTCCTGTATACTACACACACACACACGAAAAACACATATATATGGGAGAGAAAGCAAATAGGGCAAATTGTTTTTAAAAACAGATAAAACTAATGTATACCGTCAAAAGTCAGGACCGTAGTTACATCTGGAGAAGTGGGAGATAGTGGCAATCAACAAAAGACCAAATTCTGAGGACATTTCTCTGGACATTCTCTTCTGGAGCTTCTGAAGCCTTCGGGGAGTGTCATGGTTTGAATTACGTCCCCCCAAAAATGTGTGTATCAATTTGGCTAGGCCATGATTCCTGGTACTGTGTGATTTTCCTGTATGTTGTAAACCTGCCTCTATGATGTTAATGAGGGAGGATGGGTGGCAGTTGGGTTAGTAAGGCAGGCCCTGATCTACAAGACTGGATTGTGTCCTGAGGCAATCTCTTGAGATATAAAAGACAGAAGTGAGCAGTGAGACAGGGGGACCTCATACCATCAAGAAAGCAGTGCCAGGAGCAGAGTGCGTCCTTCGGACCGGGGTCCCTGCACAGAGAAGCTCCTAGTCCAGGGGAACACTGATGAGAAGGCCAATGGACAGAGAAAGTCTTCCCCTGGAGCTGACACCCTGAATTTGGACTTTTAGCCTACTTTACTGTAAGGAAATACATTTCTCTTTGTTAAAGCCATCAACTTGTGGTATTTCTGTTCTAGCAGCACTAGATGACTAAGACAGGGAGGTAAGGATTCTTGATATGCCAAAAAATTGACTCCTACTGTCTGTTAGTTGTTTCCACTGTTCTGATAATTTCATGTCACAAAACAGTTGTTATTGAGGAAATTTTAGATGATTTAAAACTAAATCATGAGAGGCAAATAAAGTAGTATCAAGATAATGAAGACCTTGTTTTTGTAAATGGATTACAAATCTTCCCTGCAGGAGAATTACAAATAATTTATGTGTTGTTCCCCCAAAGGACGTGGAGCGTAATTCCTTACACTTAAGTGAGGGTTATGCATAGGGAATTCCTTCCAAAGAGTATAATAAAGGAGAGAAAGAACTTTACAATGGAGAAACTTCACAAACATCACCTGAGGCCAGATGACAGAATGTACTCTTAACATGATGTGATGAGAATGGCCCTTCACCTCTGTGGTGTTCCTTCCCCAAATCCATAACCCCCATTTATGAGACAAACATCAAACAAACCCAAATTGAGGGACATTCTATAAAAACACCTGACCAGTACTCCTGGAAACTACAAAGGTCATCAAAAACATACCTAAGGACACATGACAACTCAGTGGCCTCACTAGGGTTGGTGTCACCCAGTACATTAACTCATGGTGTCACCCTCAAGTGGGGCTGGCCGAGGAACACACCCGTGGTGCGCTGGTGGGCTGAGCGCTTGGCCGCAGGCCCAGCTCCACAGCACGTGGCCAGCCCTGCCTCCCCCCACCCTTGCATTTCCTCCGTCTCCCATTGGCCAAGGCAGAGACCCTCTTCTCCACCCAAGGGTGGACACTCCGCCCACACCCTGATTGGCGGATTCGGTGGGGGTGGGGTGTGTGTGTAACGAATTACCGCATTGGGTGATGGGTGACACCAACCTTGTGACGCCACTGCCTTGGCGGCCCCTTCCCCTGGGGTGCCGGCCTGCTGCGGCAGCCCTGGACCGTGGGGTCATTTTGGTGTCACCCCCTCTGAAGCGTCCGGGGGTGTGATCGGCACCCCGCACACCCCACTAGTGACAACTAAACGAAATATGGTATCTAGATGGGGTCCTGGGTCAGAAAAAAGACATTTTAAAAAATGGATACAAAAACCTCAACTAATGATCAGGGCTCGAAGAGAATTTCTACCAATAGATGCTTGTTTCTAGTCACACTGCAATCACTCAGAGCACAGCCGGCAACGTTGACCCCCAGATTTCCTCACTGACCTAGTCCTGATTAGGGGTCCTTTTGCTGTTAGGTTCACCTGTGTCGCCAGCGTCTGTCCAGAACCTGGCCCTGTGCGGCACTCGTAAGCATTTTTTGATTGAAAGAAATAAAGAATGAAACCCCCCTCCCTTACCAACACCCCGCATTTTGCCTAGTGCCAGTCGCAAGTTCTCGTCCCAGCCCTGGCTCGCTGCAGACCTCGCGGTTCACCCTCTAACGGGGAACGCAGGAGTCCCGGGGAAGGAGGGGCTTCGGTCACAAGAGCGCAGGGAGGGCCTGTGGGCGACCTAGAGTGACGGGCCTCTGGTTCGATCCTGCTGCAGTCCAAGTGGAGGTACTTCTGCTTGTCTCTTTTCTGCTTGAAGACTCGCCTCTGCACTATACGTAAATAACTTCAACTAAGCACAGCAGTAACTACAAGGGCGCCGCCATGTTGGCGCCAAGCCTAAACCACTGCAGGAAGGGGAGCAGAGCGCCGTGTTGATTATTGGCAATCTCTGGCTGAGAAGCCACTGCTGAGCATGCGCACACCCAGACTGAGTCGTGCAGCCTCCTGCAGGGACAGAGAGGCGTTGAGAAAGAGGAAGTGGATCCAGTTTTAGTTCTACTGACTGTTGGCACCACCAGAGGCAAATGCCACTGTCCTGAGAGAGCGTGGGTGAGAGGCAGGTGAGTGCAGGAATTGGAGCATCGGTGGGCTGAATGAAGAAGGGTTTTTGGTGTCCGCTACGAGCAATCCGGGTCAGTCGTGGGGGGAGGGTCAGTGAATCGAATAATGGGAGGTGGGTGTCATCTTTAATGGTGGATCTCTGGGCTGAGTGATGGGTGGACGTGGGTCCGTGGCGGGGAGGGGGAGACGGGGGACTGAGAAATGAGCGGTCTGAGGGATGAGTCATGCTGATCTTTATTGATTTGCTTTTATGCTTACCGGTCTGTTTGCATTTCTGTTGCTGATTTATTATCATAGTATATTTTGCTAGAGATTTAAAAACATATTGCCATAGCATTGCATATAATTTTCGATGTATCTTTTATATCCAGATTAGTAGCTCCTTTGACATTCTTAATAGAATATTTATATGGTATTCTTTTTTTCTCTTTATTATCAGGCATTCCAAGAGTTCATGTATTTTATTGGCCATTTTGAAGTAGCAGCTTGATTTTGTTTATACTCCCTGGTTGTTGTTAGCTGCGATGGAGTCCCTCCGACTTATGGCGACACGATGTGTTACAGAGTAGAACTGCTCCATAGAGTTTTCTTGGCTGTAATCTTTATGGAAGCAGATCGCCAGGCCTTTCTTCCTCAGTGTTGCTGGGTGGGTTCCAACGCCAACCTTTTCTTTTGATGTAATTTGTTGTTCTTTCCCTTATTTGCTTAAGTTTTATACTGTATATATTGAGAAGTGTAAAGTTTCCTCTAAATACAGTTTTATCTAGGAAATGTGTAATTTCATTTTGATGTTCCACTGAGTTATTTAGGAGAGTTTATTTCCAAATTATTAAAATACCTCTTGTTTATTTTATTGTATTGTCAAAAAATGTAGTCTGTCAAAGTCTCAGCGTTTAAAAATCTATGCTATTCTTTGAAGCCACGTAACACAATAAACTTTGTAAATGTTCGATGGATATCTTCTGTTTGTATGGTGCAAAGTTCTCTTTATATATATTAAATTTTGCTTGTTTATGTTTTTCACATTTTCTTTACTTTTCCTGCTTTTGGTCTACTTGGTTCATCATAATGCCTAGTGGTGTATTTTATAGCTGTGTTTGTCTCTTTGTTTTAGACGATGTACTTCACGAATGGGTGTTGGACTTTGTCAAATGCCTTTTCCACGACGATTGAGTTGATTATGTGAATTCTTTTTTTTTTTTTTTTTTAATGTGGTGGAGCCCTGATGGCGTGGTGGTTAAAGTGCTCAGCTGCTAACTAAAAGGTCAGCAGTTCACATCCACCAGCCACTGCTTGGAAACCCTACAGGGCCATTCTGCTCTGTCCTGTAGGGTCACTATGAGTCAGAACCAACTCGAAGGCACCTAACAACAACAAACTTGTAAATAATAGATGCCTTTTGTTTTTTTCAAATCCAACCTATAGTCTCCGTTCATAGAAGTTTACCCCTTCTGTTTAGTGTAGTAATGATCTGATTTTATGCCTTCCCTCTTATTTTGTGTTCATATATTTTTTTAACTTTATTATTTTCTTCCCTTCCTTTTTGTACCTTTCACTGGCTTAATAAAATTTCTGTTCATTCTGTTTCCGTTCTACAGCCTATATAACCTCTGTTTTTCCTGAGATAATTAGGAATGTTTTAGGATATTAATAATATCACAGGATATTATTAACTTTCTCCCTTAGTAATCTCCTTATCATATCATCATTATCCTTTTTATAAGTATATTTCTGGCAAGAATTATTGCTGAACCCTTTTTTCCTATTTGAGATTTCTGGTTCATTTTACATTTATTTGGAATACTTCTTGTATGTTTTCTTCACATAGAGATAGTCTGCAAGCGCTTTCATATCTGAAAATGTCTTTCTTTGGCTCTAACGGAGGAATGGCTTTTAGATGCTATTTCTAATATCATTCAGCTTTCATGACTACAGGAGCCCTGGTGACACAGTGGTTAAGCATTTGGTTGCTAACCGAAAGATCAGCAGTTCGAATCCACCAGCCCCTCCTTAGAAACCCTATGGGGCAGTTCTGCTCTGTCCTGTAGGGTCACTGTGAGTTGGAATTGACCTGATAACAATGGGTTTTTCATTACTACAGTTGAGGAATCTTTTGATTTTCTTAATTATTTCACTGTAAATAACCTTTCACCCGTGCTTTAGATTTAGAAGTATTTTAGATTTTTTTTATCCTTCAATTTAAGAATTTTCCTAGATTTTTTTATTCGGTTCCTATGTGTGCCTGTAGGGAGGTTTGTGGTAAAGGCTAATGCTACCGGCCTAGTGGTGTCATTGGTGGGGGTGTGTCTGGTGCATTTTAAGAGCCCACTGCAGCTTCATGTGTGTCTGCGATTGGGACTGTCGGGATCTCTGTGGAGACCACGGTAGGTGGTGATCATGTGTGGAGGCTAGTTTCAGGTTTGATAGATGGGGAGCAGGACCATCAGGGGAAGAGGCCTTGGAGGTTCTGTGATAAGGGACTGTAGGATAAGTAATTTGGGGCCTGCGGGTAGCAGAACATGGGAATTAGTGGCTGCAGACCTGGGACCAGGAATTGAGACTTTCGTAGGAATCACTGATGATATTTCTAATGAGATGACTGATGGTTCCTGGGGGTGGGGTCAGTGTGTGGTGACAGTTGGAGCAGATTGATTAATAGGAGTGAGGAATTAGGTGCCAGAATTGGTGATGATTTGAGGGGTCTGTGAAGTCAGATAGGGAACCCTGGTGGTGCAGTGGTTAAGTGCTTGGCTGCTAACTGAAAATTCAGCAGTTTGAACCCAGCAGCTGCTCCATGGGAGAAAGATGTGGCAGTCTGCTTTCATAAAGATTACAACCTTGGAAACTATGGGGCAGTTCTGTGTTATGAGTTGGAATTGACTCGATGGCAGCAGGTTTGGTTTTTTTTTTTTCTTTTTTTTTTTGTAAAGTCAGATAATGCCATTATGTGGGACAAAGTGATTGCATTCTATGTGGGTTACTGATTTTATAATAATAGCAATAAAACCAAGACCAAACCCATTGCCATTGATTTGATTCTGACTCATAGTGACTGTATAGGACAGAGTAGAACTGCCCCATAGAGTTTCCAAGGCTGTGGTCTTTGTGGAAGCATTCTGCCACATCTTTCTCCTATGGAGCGACTGGTGGGTTTGAACCACCAACCTTTTGGTTAGCAGCTGAGTGTGTAACCACTGCGCCACCAGGGCAGTGTTGCTAATATTTAATGAGAGCTTATGTGCCATGCATGGGCTGGGTCTTTTCAAGTACAGGTAGTCCCCAACTTACTACGGGGTTCTGTTCTGACAACTCTGACGTAAGTTGGTTCTGATGTAGGTTGAATACCTCGTTTTTGTTTTTTTTTAGTTTTCATTATTTTTGCCTTTTGTTATCAGCATCTTTATAAATCTGATCTTTGTCTTCGGGGGTTGGAAACATTACATATATATTTGCAGATTTAATACATACATAAAAAAATACATCCATAAGAAAGGGATGACATTGGCATTTTGTCAGTTGTGTTAATAACTCCACTTGTGGAAGGTTCTGGATCATCTGGATTATCCCTGGGAATGGGTATGGCGTTTTCTAGTCAGAAAATTAGGGAGAGTTGCCTGTATGGTCCTGCAGTGTTGTATGTTGCACACATTACTAATGATAAGATGTACGAAAAAAAGAGAAAGTCATAAGTTGGGTTCATCCTAACTTGAATATGTCATAAATCAGAGACTACCTGTATTATGAGATAGGTGTGTTTATCCCAAAAGTGTAAAGACAAGAAAATGTAGACTGAAGTGAATCCTCCAGATTCTCATAGCTAGAAGGTGGAAAAGCTGGAATTCAAAATGTGCATTGATTTTGTTCCACATATAGTCTCTGGACGTTCACTCAGCTTCAGGCTCCTGGGAAAATTGAAGTTCTAAGATACAGAGGTGAGGCCTTGTATGAACATGCCAGCTAAGGAGAACTTGTCCCAAAGGCCCCATATCCCAGCTCGGTAGGAGTGTGATAGCCCCTGTAAGGGGGAAGGAGGAGCCCCAGAAGCTAAAGTGAGCAACACATGGCTGATGTCACTATACTCTGAGGCTATTCCCTCTAGTGGGAGAGGTTTTTAAAACTTTTTATTAGGGAAATTTTCAAACATACACAAAAGCAGAGAGAATAGTATAGTGAGTACTGTACATCCTCATCACCCAGTCTCAACAATTAACAGTTTGCTAATATGGTTTCACCTGTTCCTTTACACTTGCGTTGTTTTGGCCTGAGTGTTTTAAAACAAATCCCAGAAACCACGTCATTTCACCCATAAAGACTTCAGCATGCAGGTCCAACTGTTGTGGACTTTTTTTTTTTGCACTATGTCGTTAACCACGTAACAAAAATTACAGTAACTCCCTAAATCGTGTGATACTTAATCCATAGTCAAATTTCCAATTTTATCTAAAAAATGGCTTAAACATTTTACTATGAAAATTTCAAATATATACAAAAGTAGAAAGAGCGATTAATTACTTTCGTGTATGGGCTTTCTAACCATGATCTGTAACTCCCACCCAGGTGATTGTGTGATAGGGTAGTTGTGGCCTACCAAGGGGATTGGTCAGTTTTGCCTTAAAAGAGAGCCAATTCCAGTGCAGAGAGGAGGAGTTCATCACCACCAAGGAAGGAGAGACCGGCAGCAGGAGACGGCATGGGGGGCTTCTTGGCCCACGGAGAGAGAAAGCTGAGTGTCTTTGGGTGGAGACTGAGGGCCAGGGAGAGGCGTGCACGGCTGGGGAGAGGCTATCCTGATGGAAGAACTGTATCCTGAGTGTTGTTGAGCCTGAATTGTAACTTTTACTTCCCTAATAAAACCCGTAATTGCGGGTATGGTCTGTGAGTTCTGTGTGGCCATTACAATGAATTATCAAACCCAGTAGAGAGTGCTGTGGGAGGGACCGTTGGTGTCAGAGAATTAGTAAAGATGGCAGAGAGAGGAGGCAGGTCTGACCTCTGCCTC